TATCATATGAAGAATCTAAAAGACATATGAAGAAATTTATTTTGAATGGAAGTATATAAGTTAGTTGATAAAATTTATCTGTCATCCCACATAAAAATATTTCCATTATAGCATTCCTTTGTTTTGTATGACTGTTACAATGTTATACTTTTAAATCATGAAATATTGAATAGCCTTCATTTATATATGTTATGTACCATATTTTTTATACACCTACATTTATAATCCTCTAACTTATCCTATGTATTTATTTTTTTTGTATTGTTTTTTCAGTTTTTATTTTTTTTCGGGTTAAGTGGCAGAGTAGCATTATGCTAAACTTCGCCTCTAAATAAAGACAATTTATTATTATTATTATTTTAATTATTTGAAAAATAAAGACTCAACGAGCACCTCATCCTCCCCAAATCTCCTTCAGGAACTGATCGTTCATTCATTAATTCATTATAACCTGCGTTCTGCGGGATACCGTCATCCAAATCATGGAACCTGTATACCAGGAGAACCAGAAAAATAAGAAAAAACATGATTTTCTAAGAAAAATTCACCAAGTGAAAATACCCCAAATTTGGGGGAAAATCCCCCAATATGGTAACCCTTTCAAAGTACCATTGGTACTCCATTGCGTCAAGTTTTGGGGTCATTTTTACAGCACAAACAGCATTGCCGCCGCTCCTTGGTATATAGGCTCCATGGTCCAAGCGCGTACCATACGGCACGGGTATTACGTATCTTGAATAGTAACGTTATGTCGATTTATTTGACATTATTCTCTCTTTTTTACATTATATAGGTTTTTCGACAAAGTGTTAACTAAGCACTAGCTGAGGGACACTTTTGTAAACTCGTTTTGTAGTTGCACGTGTTGCCTAAACGTCATGAGGCTTCATTTATCAATGCTTGGCTATGATATGATGTCAAGTCTGCTTCAGAGATGGCGTTAAAAATTCAAATAGCTTCTAAATTCATTTCTAGCCAATCTGATTTGGAGAAGTAAACATTCTGCAGTTGCAGTCTGGAAATTCAGCAAAGCACAGCATTACCAGATAGTTCTCATCGTACGAGATACAAGAAGATATAAAGTATGATTTTTTAATACTGCTTTAAACAAATAGTTTATGAGATGTGTAACATTTTGGATAATCAGTCGGTCATAAAGTCCAAACATCCATCTCGGCGTACAGACAGTTTTTATGCCCTATCAAACATTAGTAGGCTATAAAGCTTCGATTGGTTGAGTAATTGAAGCAGTTGCATGATAAAAATATTGGGTGCCTGCAATACATGCAATACTTCAATTACTAATGGTTGCTCGAGTTGGTCGTCCAAAGCTTTCTGGGAGATAAATTAAATTCAGAAACGCCCCGCCGTACACTTGTCACAATTTCCGTATTCATTAAGCTTTGTATATTTATTATCGATTATGCGATGAAACAGAGTTGGTGAAAGAATGCTTTTAAGGTTTCAGAAAAGTAATGTATGCTTTTGAGACAAATATATAAGCTATGATATTACTGTTAGGTTTATGCATGGCTCTTATGTCTTGCAGTTAGTATATCAATAACAAAAGGAGATGGAAAGTAACAGGGATACTTATAATGCATGCTTTGAGAAAATATGAACACTTTCTCACATACGACCTAGTTATTATTACTTGGAAATAGAGTGGCGCAACATGAACGTGACGGTTTGAATCCTTTACAATTTACAACGCGTCCGATTCACAACATTTACTTTTGATTATGCTAGGATTTTGTAGAGAAGAAATTAAAAATTTGATATCATACACCACGGAAGTAACGAATCTTAAAGTCGTCGAATTTTATATTTTTATGTCTGCGGTTTATTGCTTGACCTTAGCGTGCATATAGGCCATTTTTACAATTTTGGCGTGAGTAATTTTTTTCCGTCAATATCGTTAGATTATTGCTTCCTAATGATAATTTCATGTTGGCGTCATAATTGAGCTGGACCATTTGCCGCCGTTTTTAAAAACACGTTTGATCGAAAATCTCGAAAAGCATCGATTTCATGTAACAAAATAATGATAACAATTTTGCAGGTAATTGAATTCTTTATCATTTGGATTTAGAAAGATTTGTCCTACAGACAACAGGTTACGAGAAAAATATGGTTAGTGGTACATGCAATAACCGCAGTTAGTGTCGTGTAAAAAGCTCCAGTAATCAACATGCAAAAGCTTCTCTCTGCAGTGCGCTTAGCTTAGCTTGGTCAGTAAGTTGTGATCCCTTGCCCCGCCAAGCTACAGATCTATAGGTCCAATGACCATGGTATAAAACCAACACATTTGCTTATGCTTCATTCCCAAGTGTCTGCCACAGACCTTTCGACAGTTCCATAACGAGATCCTTGCCTAGTGAAGGACTGCTTGCAGATGCGAATTCCAGTTTAGGGTTTTATTTAAGATTATTAGATATTTCGCCTCTGTCGCAACATGGTTTCACTTCGGATTGTTGGAGGTTTAATTCCATTCAATTTTTTCTTTCTGGTGAATGGTACTATGTCTAGTTTTTGCGGGTTGAGTGACAGTTTCTCTCGCACCAATACAATATTACGGTTAATACTTCCTGGAGCGTTTCTGAGATATTTTTCTCAGATTTCCCCTTGACCAAAACGACTAGGTTCATCCGACTACTATTGCTGACTATGAAGTAACTTGAGAATGTTACATTATTGAATCTCTGAGAGCAAACACACTCATGCGAGCAATGTGATGAACTTTTTGCCTGCGCTGTAGTAAAAATGGCGGAGGACGATTGTACAATAAAATATGCATGATGAAACAGCCGTTTCGTAAAGAAACATTCAGCATAATTTGAAATACTTTAAAAAAATGGTGAAAGACTAGCTAAATTGTCGGCAAAGTGTAGAAACACACTTCCATCATAGTGCCAATTAGTAAGTCCGTTAGGTCTGGAAGTTTAAGACAAAGATGATTGAAGATGCAATCAAATGCAAATGCAGATTGTGTGGATAGATTTGTTTTCAGTAGGCAAGCATAACTACTTCTATGTGTCCCGAAAGATCAGAGAGCGATTCGACTATAGCATAAACATAAGTACACGTACTACGAGCCCCTTCCCACTTCAGTTGGCCCACATCAAGATTTGTACCAAAATATGCCTTTATAAACTAAACATGACGAAACTATTTACTTCTAAAACAATTTATTTTCTCAAAAACATTTTAGATACACTCTAGTCGTAAAAAATACATATTTGAAATCACTTAGACCTATAACTAATAGAACATCTGAACAAATAAACAATGTGCGAATAAATGCGCGAAGTTAACAAAACAACAATTGAAAGATTACCATTGGGTAACATCACCTTTATTTTTTATTACGGCTGAAATTCTTTGGAGCATAGTGTTAACCAAGTTTTGCCAAAAATTTGGTGTAAAACAATCCCATATATCCTGAAGCTTTTGCCTCAGTTCGGTGATTGTACGAGCAGGATGTTGTCGTAGAACCTTTTTCATCTCGTGCCACAAAGTTTCAATAGGTGACAGATCTGGACTGCTAGAAACCCATTTCAAAAGTGGTACATTTCATCTTCCATCCATTTTATAGGCTTTTTTGAGGTATGGCACGCTGCACCATCTTGCTGAAACACAAAATCTTGGCCGGATGTCAAAGATTCTTCCATCACCAGTAAAAGCGATTCTTCTAAAATTGCCATATATTTGTTTGTATCCACATTTCCATCAATAAAATGAAGTTTTCCTACTCCTTTTGATGACATACAGCCCCAGACCATAATGGATGCTGGAAATTTCACTTTTCTCTTCAGACAGTCAACATGGAATGCTTCATTTTTTTTGCGAATAACTCTACTGCGACTGTCACCAACACAAACTTCGAATCGGGCCTCATCACTCCATTGTATTGCACACCATTGTTGAGGTGTCCATTGTCTATGTTCTTTAGCCCATCTAAGCCGATTTTTCTTTTGCATTGGAGTTAATAGTGGCTTTTCTTTGGCCTATAAACAAGTTGTGCTACTTTAGGATTTTTACTTCACTTTTTTGTATAAGAAAACTTACCTTGCAAGTGCTAAATCCCAGTTTGTGGGCCTCTCTATGAGTTGTGGACCTCGAAATTCTCCTTCCAACAGCGTCACTCCACAGAGCACTTAATTGTAAATAATTGGCACGCTTGTTTTTCACGATTATTCTTCTTAATGCTCTTCGGTCGGCATTCCTGATATTACTTTTTTTCACATATAGTGGCTTAATATTAACTGAACCCGTTACGTTATATCTTCTAACAATATTTCTCACACTGTACCGCGATAAGTCTAACAAAGTTGCAATTTCTGAGTTTGATTTCCCAAAATTAAAAAATTTAATTATCAGTAACCGAATTTTCTCACTAACAACCTTTCCTCTACCCATTTTGAAAACCTTAACTACCCAAAACTATTTTAAACGTATTTTGACAGCTGTGATTAATAAAAACAATTATCATGGCTTTTATTTCTCACAGCCACCTATGCGTTATAGACTTATTTTGCATTGAAATGAAAATAGGTTTATATGCTGTAATTGCAACATGTGTTATTTTTATGCTGCAAATTTGATTAGGGAGTGATAAAGTTGGTGTTTTCTACTATATATTATCAAAATATTCATTGTTAATATTTTAAACCTATAACACCCTGCTACATTTTTATTATTTGTGTTTGATAAGAAAAAAACTAAGATTTCAATAGTTGAGCCAACTGCAGTGGGAAGGGGCTCGTATATTGCCTGTTTTATAAGTTATCAGATTTATTTCTTCTGTTAGACGATGCAGGATTGTATATAACACATCAATAGGTGGAAATTTTACCTCGACGGTCTCAAACGGTAAGGGTATGCGACCTCAATTCAGTTTATTAGCCATAACTAAGCATTTTTTCTATTTTCTCCATACTCTGTCACTTTGCACTTAAGCTGAAACCCCAGATTTATTTTTTTTTCATTTTTATTTACAGGGCAGGTAATGCGGTGGAACCGGAAACATGCGATAGTTCAGAAGATGACTTTCCTCCGTTTCTGACAGATGACATAATCCGCCATGGAGGATTCGTACTATGTATTATTATCGGCATCTATTGCTTTACATTGTTAGCTGTAGTTTGCGAAAATTACTTCTTACCATGTGTTGAGACCATCTGTGAAGTTTTGGGGCTGTCGCCGGTAAGTGTTCATAATACGGTAACATAAAAAGATAAGGCTAGAGTTTCTAATCTAAAATAATTCTTGAATTCCGAGCTGATAAACTTTGAGAACGGCACGGGTAATACGTATCTTGAAAAGTGACATTATGTCGATTGTTTTGACATTATATTGTTTTTTTGTGACACTATGTAGATTTTTCTCGTTTTGTACTTGTACGTATTGCTTAAACGTAATGATGCTTCAGTTAGTGTTTGGCTCTGATACGATGTAAAATCTGCTTCAGAGATAGCATTATTGGAGGCCTAAGCTGTAAGTTGTATACTGTAGCTAGAAGGAAACGGCAGTGCATAGGTGCATAGTTAGGATTTGTGTGCTAATAATTAATTACATTGGTTACTTGTCTCAACACTTACTTGAGATTCAAAGCTAGAAATTAGTTGCGCATCCACTTTTTCTTATTCATTCTGGAAATTACATATGCAAATTTGCTGAATTAAAAAAATGAGAGAGATAAGAAAAGAAAATCCCTGGTTGGTGAAGGAACATGTGAGAAAATATGCTACAGACAGGAGTATTTACGAAAGTGAAAAGGTTATTACATTTTTACAGTCATTCAAATTTTATAGAAATTTATTTTGCGATGAATAGAAAATAGAAATTAGCGTCTAGATGTGAGTCATTGCGAAAATGTCTTATGCGTGATGCGCCATTCCTAATTTTTCTGTGATGTGGCTTAATTGCACTTAATGCGGGCGCGGTGGCGATTTCCGTAATGCTCCCCAAAGTTATTGAAAACACACAAAAATAACATACAACCTATAAGTAACCCGTCGGGCATAGCTAATAAATATACTTCATTAGCAGCATATTCGGTAATAATATTCATAATAATCATCCAGATGCGATCTTGCTACTCAACGAACCTTTTTTATTTCCTATCTTCTCAGAAATAAACACTACAGACTAGTCGGCTCCACAAAACATATACTTGTTTTTTGCAACCAACATGCGTGTGTAGTTGATTCATTTCGACAGAGATGGACGCTCACAGCGATCATAGCGAGCATACGAGGAATGAAATATTTGCACCTCTAAAAACTAGTATGCTAGATGGTATTTTGTTGGTTTTTTGGCGTTTTACAGGTTTTTTACATGACAGCTGTGCTGTTGGCAGACTCCAAAATAATGTTAGTATATCATATATTTATAGCAAAAACAAGGTCCTTGGTATTAAAAGGCTTTACAGACTATTTAAACCAAGGTGGACATAGACGCTAATTTCAGTAGCAAGTCTCAAAAGAAGAATCTGTTCTTCAAAAATCCTAACAATATGTTAGTGTCACATGATTTACAATATGTATTTCATAGACGTATGAGATTATTTAGCTAAGATTTATGAGTCGGCACCAGATGCTTAGACGGGGTATGTGTCTCACTGTGCTAAAATCCTACCTGTACTAATTTGTAATAAGATTAACTATAGGAATCAAAAACCCTTAGGATAATTAAACAAAAATTCTCAACAAATTACATCATATTTTATACACATCATTAATTACAAAATGGGATCAGTATAAAATATCAATAATACTTGTTGGTTCGGTTACAATTCAAATCTTGCAAATTCAATTTCGTTGCTGTAGCCTATTGTAATAGTTATGTTGATTGTTTTCGTTAGACGTTAAGCATTTTTATTGCTCGCTCTATTTTTATGTAATAGAAGTGCTATGTTTTGTAATATTTCAACATACATATACATTTGTGCTATTTAAATGTTGCGGAAGTTTTGCACCTGCCACTAAAAACCAGCAAACTAGTATCAAAAGACTGTAATTTGATACATTGAATTTTTTGAATGGGCAGGATGTCGCTGCAGCTACTTTTATGTCAGTAGCAACCTCTTGCCCAGAGCTATTTACAAACATCATTGGAACTTTCGTCACGGAGTCCGACATTGGCATTGGTACTATAGTAGGATCATCACTTTTCAATGGGTTAGGAGTAGCTGCTATTGGAGGATTGGCTGCACCATTTGTAAGTTTTCTTCTTTTTATTCAGGGCAATGTATACTTCAAATGTTCAAAAATGGCGCCAAGAAGATTTACTCTATACTTCTTGCTCATTCGAAAAAAAACTCAAAAAAATCCAAAACACCTGCTGTAGATTGATTCAGAATCTCAGAAAGTTTGACCATATCAGTGCCGATTTTTCAGAACTAGGATAACTGAATATGAGACAATTAAATGCTTTGAATATGCTCATATATACTAACAAAATTTTAGATACATCTGTGCCCCTATTTTTGAGAGAGAAGCTGATTGCGCGCAGATAAATACATTCCCGAAATACAAGATTTAATAACACCTTTACAATGCCACACCACAGGACTGCTTTCTTTCAAAACAGTTTTAAATACGATGCCGTCAAGTTGTATAACTCCCAGCCAGTTAGCTATAAATCTTTGTCAGTAAATAAATTGAAGCCACAAGTTAAGATGTAAATATACATATACTAAGTGTCATATAAATCCGAACACCCAGTTTAAATGGTTTTATTTTAATAAAATTTTGTATAAGTACTTAATGAAGCATAATAAGTAAATGATAAAAATTTCAAAATGATTGCACTGCTTTAAAGCCCTTTGACCTTTAATAATGTGTGGATGCACCCTGATGTGCTACGCATTCTCCAACGCGCTTAGGCATGCTTCTGATCAGGTGGACAATGTCCTCCCGTGGTATCTCATTCCAGGTAACCACCAACTCCTTTCGAAGTGCTTCTAGAGTCTGAGGAGGACGTTGCAAATTGTGCAATCTCCTACCCATCATATCCCACACGTACTCAATTGGGGATAAGTCGGGAGATCTTGGTGGCCATGGTAACAATGTGACATCATTATGTTGAAAGAAGTCTATTGTGACTCTTGCAACATGTGGTCGGGCATTATCTTGTTGGAAAGTTGGATCTGCCAGGGTGTCAAGATAGGGTAAAAGATGTGGTTCTAGAACTTCGCGTTCATGTTACCTCTGATGAAGATTAAAGGTGACCTGGAACCATAAGCTATAGCACCCCAAACCATAACTCCAACAGTGTGATGAACATGTCTTTCAACAAAAAACTGTGGATTCCTCCTTTCACCACGTCGCCTTCTAACCCTGGCACGACCATCGTGCATGCCTAAACAAAATCGAGACTCGTCACTAAAGACAATACTGTTCCATTCCTGATCCCAGAGTGACCGTTGTCTGCACCACTCAAGGCGATTACGTCGGTGTTCTCGAGTTAAAGGGAGGACCCAGTGTGGCCGGTATGAAAACAAGCCAAAACTTCTCATTCGTCGGTAAACACTTCGCATGCCAATAGGTCTTCCGTGTTCTGCAAACCATTCATTTGCAATGGACCTGGTAGAGAAACGGTCCCTTAAGGCCAATAATCTTAGGCGGCGATCTTCACGGTCTGTTGTTCTACGGCGGCGTCCAGTGCCCCTTGCTCTTTGCGTACGGCCTTCTCGAAGCCATGCCTGACAACACCTAACCACAGTGTCTACACTTCTTTGCACTCTAACTGCAATTGCCCGAAAAAAAGTCCGGCTTCCCGAAGTTCCACTATACGGCCCCTATCAAACTCACTAAGTTGACGAAATCGTACAGGTCTCCGTACTCTAGGCATCGTAACCGATCGTAAAGGATGTCAAGAACCAAAATCCGCCAACGTTGATTCTTTACTGCGGCTGAAATATTCATTTTTAGAGCGTTAGTGAATTAAAAAAAAAAACAGTATAAAAACCGGAATGTCCAACTGATAAGTCTGAAAATTTTTTCACTTGTTATTTACAGTAAGATAAATACATTCACCAACTTTTATTAAAATAAAACCATTTAAACTGGGTGTTTGGATTTATATGTCACTTAGTATATATTGAGCCATGGAAATGCTGACATAAGCTAATACCCTTTTGTGGCGCTTTCTCATTGTTTTTTTATCTATATTTAATACTACTAGTGCCTCATTTATTTATTTATCTATGTTTTCTACCGTTAGAATCTTTTTATTGTGAACATTCCTGATTTTTCCAGCTTGTGCATAAAAACTGTCTTTTAAAAGTGTTAATTGAATGCTTACATTTTATTGTAATTGTTTTTGTTTTTAAAATGGTTAAGTGGAAGAATAGCCGAAGGCTTAACTTCGCCCTAATAAAGACCAGTTATTATGAATATTATTATTATTATTATTATTATAATTCGTTTTTGGTTGGTCTACCGTTACACACGGGGTATGTACTCAACAGGGGAGGAATTCGCCTCAGCCTGTTGCGAAGAACTTGCGAACTATGTTACATGTTTGCAATATTGCGGCTTTCTGAATCAATGCAATAAAATGCACTGAAACTTTGATTTTCTCTAAGTGAGAGTGGAGATTTACAGAGACTGCCCCTTACACAGACACTGCTACTGGTATTATGCAGACCTCTGATAGTTTCCAAATGTTTTTGATTTCAATGGCAAGGTTTCAAGGTTTTGATGCTTTTCAGCCTTGGTGTATTCGGTTCTGATTATGTTTGCTGTGAGTGGCACTGCGATATCAATTATGTATGCTTTCCGTTTATTTTTATCGATCAGTAGTATATCTGGCCGGTTATAGTCAACTGTTTTATCGGTTATGACTGGCCTGTCCCAGTACAATAGGGCCGACTGATTCTCGAGTACTGGGAATGGTGTATATTTATAATATGGCGCCGTTGATTCAATGAGATTATAATTTTGAGCTAACGTGGAGTGTATTACTTTAGCTACTTGATTAAGCCGGGATAAGTCAGCACTAAAGGCCAACATGTTGCAGCTGGAGGTAATGTGTTCTATTGTTTCACCTGGCGTATGGCATTTTCTACGTACGTCGTGTGTATTCAGGCCTAGTATATGTCGTTCATAGTTTCTAGTCCGAATAACCTTATCCTGAATAGCACATAGAAAACCCTCCGATTCCGGATGTAGGTCGCCTTTCACAAAAATTGATAGTGAGGACATTTTATCAATTCCATCTTTTTCAAGTGTTACAGGATATATCCCGTGAAGGGCTTTCTCTTTCCATCTGTTGAGCAGGTCAGTCGACGTCGGTTTTGATCGATCTGAGGATTCATGATTTCTACCCAAATTCATGGGGGTGATGTTGCTGTCCATAGCTGTAATTCTCCTAATGTTTTGGCCATTGATGTTGCAAAAATTTCGACGAAGCTTGGACACTTGCTGTTTGCAAAGACGCTCAACATTTATCAGTCCTCTTCCCCCAAGGGCTCTAGGTATGTATACTCTTTCCGTGGCAGATTTTGGAGAGTAATTGTCTAGTTTTTCGATCGATTTCTGGTTTGTATCGCTCCATCTAATAACGCCAAAGCTAAATAACAGCACTGGCACAGCCCAAGCATTTATTGCCATTATAAGATTTCTTGAATTAAGTTTGGTGTTGAGGAATTTTGTTATCCTGTTGGTGTATTTTTGCTTTACGATTGCTTTTAAGTTGGTGTGATCCAACCCTGCGTTTTGTTGAAAACCTAGATACTTATAATAGTCTTCTGGGGATAACATAGCTATGTTACATATGCTACTTCCGGCGGGTGCGATCTTACCCCTATTCATTTTGAATATTCCACACTTATCCAACCCGAACTGCATGCCGATGTCCTCACTGAATATTTGTGTTGTATGAATGAGGGATGACAAATTATCTTCTGACTGGGCAAACAGCTTTATATCATCCATATACATCGAGTGGGTAACTCTGTCATTGTGCTGCTTATTTACTTTGTAACCCGCTGAGCTCCTATTCAACAACTGTGATAATGGGTTCAGTGCAAGACAGAACCATATTGGGCTAAGACTGTCACCTTGGTAAATGCCTCTGTTGATTTGGACGTTACCTAAATTAACTTTGTCCACAAATAGCGTGGAACTCCACTGTTTCATCCAAGTAGTTAAACATGTTCGTATTGCAGGGTTGATCTTATATATGCCCAGCACCTTAAGTAACCAATCGTGAGGAACAGAATCAAATGCCTTGCTATAATCTATAATATGAAGTATACAGATTTCGTTGTTTTAGTTGGGCACTTTTAACTATTATGGCATCTAATGTTAGCTGTTCCTTACAACCTTTCAATTTTTTATTTTATATTATTATTATTATTATTATTATTACTATTATTATTATTACTATTATTATTATTATTATTAACTTCTATTACAATTTTCCATGTGGTTTAATGACATCAAAAAGACGTAGTGGTTGTCAGAACCAGTAATGCACTACTAGGGCTTTCCATGAAAAATGTTCAACTCGTATCTGCGTATCTGTACACGGTAGCTTCATTTGTTTGGAGCTCTGATGTAAAACTGGTAGTCAACAGTTTTTGATAACTAATTGTAACTGCTCTTGATAGATAGTTATATACACTACTATGTAGTACTACCTTACGGAATTCTATAATATCACTGAATTACACTCCTCATAAAGTTTCAAATTCGACCCTCCCCATTGGGATCTTGGAAACGGTAAGAGATACGAAGTCGCCTGAGTGGGGGCCAAATTGCGAATTCAGGTTAACTAACAAAATGCCGCTTAGAAAGTTTCCGAAGGAACACAGGAAGAACCAAATTTTCTCACAATCGTTTTCATTACCACTTTTTAACATATACAAAATTGCACAATTATTTTTCTTCAAAACTCCATATTGGATTTTTGCACAGGTAAATAGAGTTCGTATTTCTGATTCTAAAAATGTATAATATGTCAAACATTAACACCGCAAATCCTTAGTTATTAAAAAAAGTTTCCTAGGTAGGTCTCGAAATTATCAGATATTCAATTGTCTCATATACCAGATTTAACACCGAATCATTTTTATTTTTTCCCGTATTTATTTCAGATGAGTTTTCAAAATCAATTGCATGTTGTTATTGCTACTTTTTCTCCTCTACAATATAGCGTAGTCAAATTTTCAGTCTGACATACCTTCTTTCGACTTCCATCACCAACTTTGTTTTTCCATATGGACGCTACATTGGAATTTTGTACATTAAAATTGAGTTTTAAGTCATACATTCAGTGTTTTATTTCTTCTGTTAGCCATAAATTTGTCGTTTAACAAAAATTGTAAGGAAATAAAAAGGTATGGTCAATTTAAAAACAGGAAGATAAAGACCTTGAGTTGAACATATGTAGTCACAGAGTTTGTAAGACCGACAAGAAAGAAAATAAACCGAGCAGTGAAGAATGTTTAGAGAAGACAACGTTTTGAACATCTGCAATGATTCACCTGTGCTTATTTATGATTAATGTTATTACCATCAATGTTCAGGTTTCACCATTTCCTTATAATTTTCGTTCCAGCAACAAATGCTTGGACAACTGAGGAAACACATCGCTGAATTTATGACTGAAAAATCCATTTAAATGTACAAAACTGTGTCCATACGAAAAAATAAAGTTGTTGATGAAAATCGAAAGAAGAAACCATGAATTAAAATTTCTTCTACATCTTATAGAGGAGAAAAAATAGCAATAACAACATGCAATTTATTTTGAAATCTCATCTCAAATAAAGTCAGGAGAAAATGAAAATGATTTTGCGATGTCTGGTTATACGAAATAAATGACCATCAGATAATTTCAAGGCCTACCTTGGAAACTCAGTTTTTTAAATAACTGAGGTTTGGCAATGTTAATGTGTATTATGATTTTTGAAGTCAGAATGAAAAACTTCATTCATCTATGCAAAAATTCAGTGTGGCGTCCATAAGAAAAAATAAAGTTCTTATTATGCCATCCTGTAGAGCAGAAAAAGTAACAGTTAATGTGAAATTTATTTGGAATTCCCACGACAGATAAAGTCAGGAAAACATTAATACGATTTTGTGAAAATTTGGCTTTTTTCCGTCTATCTTCAAAGTAGTTTGAATTTCGAAACTTTCTAAGCGACATTTTGATAGTTACCTAAATACGCAACTCTGGCCCCATTCAAGCGACTTTGTATCTCTTACCGTTTTCGAGATCCCAATGGTTAGGGTCGAATTTGAAAATAGCTCCGTGACACTCGGCATATGAGACCGATGAAAATATTTTTAAGGGCAAATGTACGGGGGAATCTGTGGTGTGTGAAATATGTTTAATAAGTGCGTAGAATTTACCGGAGCTGGAATTGTACTAATATGCATAAAAAAATACGCTTCCTGTAGCAAACACCGTATATACCTTAAAATAAATTATCCTTCCAGCCATTGAAACTCGACTGGTGGCCTTTGACCAGAGACTGCCTGATATACATCGTGGCCGTAACTGCCTTAGTTGCCATCACATGGGATGGCGTGATCCTATGGTATGAGGCTCTGGCCTTGGTGATCATCTACGTCATCTACTTCGTGCTGATGTTCCAGAATGACCGTATTTCGGTTGTGGTGCGCAGAAGGGTGCAAAAGAATAGTCAAAATATGCGCAAACGTGAGAATGAAAATGAGAGGGAGATTGTACCCAGGGTTTCGATCATTTCGGCGTATGGATCGTATTTGGACGAGAACACCAAGAAACAATTAGAAGCCAACCATGCACCGCTGGAGAAAATTGAAGAACAAGAAGTTGAAGGTATGTGGTCTAGGGGAAATGTCAACTTTTATGACCTCGTGAACTATCGATGCAAGGCTAAAGCTACACAGAAGGTTGCACTTTTAATGTCAGGATAGCATATTGAAAACATAGCAATCAGGGAAATATTTATCTTTTAGTAGGATGATGATCCTAAGCAAACCGCCGCTGAAACAAAGGTATTATTATTTTACTATGTTCCTAATGACTATATGGATGTTAATTTTTAAATGAATTTAGTATAAAAAATCATCTTTTCGTTATTGGGACTCATGAAAAAATTGTTAATACTTTTTGGCCTAACAAGTCACGAAGTACGAAACATGGCAACGTTGTTGTAGTCCTATCGGTCTACCCGTGCGACCCTAAGTCAAACCAACCCTATTGCATGTTAGATGTAATTCACTTGTTTTTAAGTAGTAAGAAGTGTTAGTTGTACTCTGAATCTGTGGTTTTGTGGAAAAACTATTGAGGTCGTGCAAAGTGGAGCTTGGGAATTGTAGTAATCATAAGGTGTAGACTATTTAAATAAAAAAAGGTTACAGAGTAATATCATGAAATTCCAAATAATACATACTGTGAGGTGATGCAAGGACGCTGCGTTTCTGGTTGCAAATGCGGATTCGTTGATAAAAAAACTCGAATCTAGGTATACGTGAGTCTTTCCAACCACACAATACTCATGATACAGATTTTGCAATTTGGAGGCCCGTGACCTAATTAATAGTATCACGCATTATTTTAGTGACGAGAAAACCAAAACAATACGCCAATTTGTAACCAATCAGTTACTGCTAGTGGTACCAAAGAAAATAATGTATTCTCTAGAAACAATTTTGAAATTTATGAAATTACTGATTCAACAGTACATTCAAGTAATTACGTCACTATTTCATGGCAATGAGTTTTTCGTAGATCTTTGTATGTTTGTTAAACGTCGTTTAGCCAGAGGTATTTTAATATATTATCACATTTTCCAAACATCATATCATTTAGGATACTACTGTTTATCATACATTATTTTAAGCAGTACAACTTCCCTTTTATTTTTCTTAGGATACTGAGCATTTTTGATTGTTATATCCGTACCGAGAAAAAGTATATTATCTCTATTGTTTACAGTTACTATATTAATAATAATATACCTCGCCTTGCCGGCGGCCGATAATTTGACAATAGGACCAGATTGCGCAAAAATATATAAATAAATCCACATTGGCGTCATTTTAGGGCTGAAGCTTCATCTGCCACTTTACACGCGCTTGGGAACTATCCTTTAAACTAACATTCCTATATAAAAAGTGATACAACCATTTCGATCCTACACAATTTTACCGTACGGCCAACAGCTGCTGAAGTGGTAACCTAGAATTATAACACACATTTTCAGATTATTATTTCCATGAGTCTGTCTATTGGTCATTTTGCCACTGCATAGCCTCAGCAACTATTGCAACGACTTTAACACAGAATGGAAGTGATATCATAAACCAGGCCCCCTTGCATTAAGATCGGCTACATCCCCAGATGAAATAATGTTAGCATGGCGACACGTAAACAACCTATGTAGCATGCGGGGTCTGTCGAGCGATACGAAACTTCAATTATACTTCAAGAACCATAGGGCTACTGGAAAAATGTGAGAGAGCTTTTTGCATCAAATCTTATTTTCTACAAAAGAAGGTAGCCTTTATACGCTCAAGCTGTTAAGGCGGAACAACATGCAGAAACTTTCGCAGAGGAAAAATCATGGAGAATTTAATTCTTTATTTTTACTAATGGTAAGACTATACTTTAGCGCATATCGCAAATATTTCATTTCTTATTTTAGAATGGAAGATTAGGATGTAACTTTTACGAAAATATCACTTTTTCTTTAAGGGACCTGCTTGCAATTTTATAGAACTTCAAAGTTGCATTTTTGGTGGTAATAATCTAGAATAGAATTGTTTTATATCCTATTTTTTTTGGCGTTTTACACAAAAGGATGCTCGAATTGTAAGAATATAACATAAACTGTATAGTACTAAGGAAAATAGATGTGAAAGTTAAAACAATCGTTGGTTTCTCAAAGAAAAAGGTTAAAAACTAGCCTTATAATTAGCTAAAATGACAGTTCCAAATACATACCTCAAATGATGGTTTCTTCTGGATAAACTGTTTAGAGGTGTTGTGTTAAAAGTTCCCAATGATTTCTTGAAGCCTCTTAACCTTTTTCAAGCTTCTTCAAAAACATTGTAGTTTTTGCGTTTATAATAAATGTTTGAAAGTATTATCAGCTTCCATTTTATAACATTCATTTCTTGACAGATAAAAGAAATGTTGTCCATTGTTTCCAAATTGTACGCTTTGTTGGGAGAAATACGTAAATCAAAAATGAAGTTATTTGAAAAATAAATGTGTTATGAAAATGGCTTGTTTTCTAAGTAGTAAACCCAATATTTACTGAAAATTAGGTAACATTTTGAGTAGTGGGTGCATAAACAGTGAAAAATTCACCAGCGGCTCGTGAGATTCAAAAAAAGAAGCAGGTAGTACCAACAGAAATTGCATATAAAGATACATAATAGTTATTTATCGATCGTTTAGTCACCATATGATCTTTGCAGGGAGCACCACGTGGAGGCGATTAATAATCCCTTCAGTAACTCATCATTAGGGATTTACCTTGAAAAAGGCGATTTTTGCTATTTTATTAGAAGTATTTTGAACCGATAATCAGATCTAATTGCCTTTAATAAAAATGTGAAGAGATCAATTCCGCAAACGCGATAGTGCCTATGCCATAGATATTTGCAGTGTCCGCAAATTCTTCGACAGTCACATGTCGGGTGCGGAAATAATCTTTCGCTGGCCTCCAGGTCGCCTCTATCCGCTGGGTGTTGGTGCCGTCAGGAGCTGAAAGATAAATAAATATATTTGAAATTGTGTATGTATTTACATATCTAGGTAGAATGGTTCACAACCTTGTGGACGGGACCTCGGTTGGCCGTGTGGGTCAGTGTCGTGCTACTGATCAGCCGGTCGGCCGGGCCGCGAGTTCGAATCTCGCCTTGGCCATGGATGTTGTGACGTCGTGTGCTTGTCCATAAATTAGAAATTTCAAATATAACAACCTAGTTTCTGGCTGCATGGATATTAGGTCCTAAAGCCAAAAAAAAAAAACCTTGTGGACATACCCCGCTGCACTCAATCCATTATATGCCCTACACATGTCCGTATGGATCTCAGATCCGGGACGAACTTATTGCTGAATTATGGGGATGAGCCCCTCGGCATTTCGGCATTTCGTTCTGACACCTCAACCATCCTGACATCTTCTCTTCCCGATTTTTTGATGATCCCTAGTACTCAGTGTCCTTCAACGTTGCGCCCTCGCTTGTACTTGCGCTTGCCAAACTACGACTCGTCGATTTGGACCACTGAGCCAGATCCACCCAACAACTCACCGTCTATTAATGAACAATGATCAACAACCATTTTTCGACAATATTTGTACCTAATAAATGTACTTAAATAAATTCATAGCTAGCATATCAGAACGTAATGGTAGGTGGAGAAAGATGTTGCTCGGCACCGGGATTATCTATTTCGTGGGCAGCGTCACTCCTCCGTGAAAGCGTACATAAGTCTGTAAAAAAAGTCAATAAGGTACAATTACAATTTTCACAAGCATCTTAATCGTCAGATTTGAATTGGTGAACCTTTTTTTCATATTTAGACTGGTTAAAATACAATCATGAATCTTATTCCATAATTCTTCCAGTAGATACTAAAAAGAAATGAATTATAATGTAATATTGGAAAAAAAATAGTCGAAGCACTGTTGGGAAGGGCATACGACATTCTTCGAAAAAGTGCAATTGGATATACAGGTTGTTCCTTAACGATATGCGAATATTTAACGGTGTGAATCTACAATTTAAAAAGAAAACATATCTTCACAATAGGAGAGCGCTGACGCTGACAGGGGTCAGGTGCAATCTAGATATTTTTTAAGGACAGAAAGCAGTATGACAATCAAGGAGGCCATAAACGCGCCCTACAATTGTAGGGACGACTGACGATACGGGCCTTAATGATATGCGAACACATAAGGGTGTGAATCTACATGAACAATTAATGTTAGTTTGCTTTATAAAGTATGGTCCAAAAATGTTTTCTTACCAAAACTCGGGGTGTTGAAGTTTTAGGAAAAAAAAGAAATTAATTATTATTTTCAGAACCGCTTCAGATATTTCACTGAGATTCAGTAAGTAGTGAAAGTTAATAAAGTTGCATATTTTTCAATGCAGACATAATGTTTAGCTTTAACAGTGGCGTGCGTACGGGTATTGACTTCGAAATTTTTTAAGAAAAAAATAGTACGCCAATGGTTTTTTGTCAAATAAAAATTATGATCGAATTCTTCGTTCAATTTAAAACAAATAATCTCTCTTGAATTGTTTTCCTTCGATGCGCCATTTAAAAACCGTTCTATTGTCCGAGAAAATTAATGTAATCATTGAAGAATGCAATTTAGCAATAAATATCTAGTTGCTCTGGAATATGTCACTTGCTTTTGACAGCTGACAAGTCTATATTATTCAAATCTGTTCCCTGTGAAATCTTTTTCATTATTTAGTTTTTACAATGTTGTTAATAATGGTGAATTACTTGTATTCAAATGAAGAAATGGCGGAAATGCATTACGTACAGGTATATGGACTTGCCGACGGTAATGGTGAGCAAGCCAGACGGATTTATCACCAGAGATATCCCGATCGTGCTTTGCCAGATAGTCGAACTTTTTCTGATATTCATCGTCGTCTTGTTGAAACTGGTTCTGACCGAAAAGGAACATCTGAACGTAGACCTCAAAGTGTGAGAACACCTGAAATTGAGGAAGCAGTGCTGCTCGAAGTCGAAGAACATCCTTAAACGAGTACGAGGAAGATCGCTAGACACTTAAATATTTGCCATCAAATTGTTTGGAGAATTTTAGTGGATTTTTTGTTATATCCTTACCATATTTTAAGAGTACAGGCATTACTTCCCATTGATTTTCCAAGGCATGTGACCTTTTGTCAGTGGTATCTTAAAAAAATGTACACAAAATCCGCAAATTGAATCAATTATTCTGTTCACGGACGAAGCTATTTTTTTTCGAAATGCCATTCAGAATTTCCACAATAATCATTTGTGGGCAGAAGAAAATCTGTATGCCGTAACTGAAACCAATTTTCGGTTAACGTATGGGCAGGAATTATTGGCAACCGCTTTATTGGCCCATTCTTCTTGCAGGGACGACTTCACCTCAATTTTCTTCAACAACAGTTGCCTTTGTTGCTTGGTGATGTTCCGTTAGTAATAAGAAACAATATGTGGTACATGCATGATGGTGCACCAGCGCATTTCAGTGTAGCGGTGCGTAGGTATTTAAAAACTGTTTATCCAAATCGTTGGATTGGCCGCGGTGGGCCCCAAGAATGGCCACCAAGGTCCCCAGACCTCAACAGTTTATATTTCTTGGGAGATATCTTAAGACACTAGTGTACACAAGTCCCATTAACACTGTAGAGGAATTAAGAGAAAGAATAGTTGCAGCTTGTGATAGGATAAAAAACACTCCAGGGATATTTCAACGAGTGCGGTGGCCGCAGTAGTAGACTCTTCGGTCTCCTGATCAGTCGCCGTGCGCTGGGCGGGTTCGAGTCCCGTCCCAGGAGAAATCTTTCTCTTGGCTATGGATGTTGTGATTGTCCGTAGGTGGTAGACGGTCTCTGACTGTCGAACGTGGAGGTACCACCCGGCGGATCTCGTAGGCGGTGCCAGAATGAGTGCATGTTGCAAGCACACGTGTTCCCTCGCCAGAGTCCGTGTGGCGTTCCCCCTTTCCCTTGTATCCCCCTATAGCCCCACGGTACCCAATGGGTGTTTAGGCCTTAGGCCTTCGTGGTAGTTGGAGTATAAAAAAAAGGAAGAGGGCGGAAGCATGCATACTAAGTGAAGGGGGCCATTTTCAACAATATATCATTTCGTCGGTTTTAATGTTAAGTTTATGTTGTCAGTTGTTGTTGTTCATTATCCCTAACGTGTTTAATTTTTCCAATTAAATTAATAATAATTTTGCAAGTTGGACAATAGAACGGTTTTTATTTTTTACTCAAAAATGGCGCATCGAAGAAGAACAATTCACGACAGATCATTTATTTTAAATTGAACGGGGAATTCAAAAATAATTTTTATTGGACAAAAAACCATTGCCGTATCATTTTTTTCTTGAAAAATATCGAAGTCAATACCCATACGCACACCACTGTTAAAGCTAAAAATTATTTTTGCATTGCGAAATATGTTATATATTATTATATATATTGCGAGTTTTTGTAAGGAAACATTTTTGGACCATATTTTATAAAGTAAACTTACTAACATTAATTTTTCATGTAGATTCACACCCTTAAATATTCGCATATCATTAAGGAATACCCTGTAGATACCGTAGGACAGGGAGTAGATTTTGGACAGCAAAATTTGCCGGCCACACCTCCAAATCTTACTTTCATCGCAATCCTGTGCCGATTGCCCATTGCCCCTTGGAAATAATCCCCCTTCTTTGGCCCACTCAACAGCATCTTAAGGCTGAGCAAGAAACAAAGATTATAGGTAGCCATATTTACCATGAAAAGAAATGAACCATTATAGTATAGATACAATTAATATATAAACACTTACCCAAAAAAGTTCACAGATATGATGAAATTATTCAAAATGTTAAAGAAAATCTCCGAAAATCATAATGAAATTCTAGAAATCGAAAGAATTTGCCAAGACAAATCAAATTCTAATTCTGGCGGGGCATTTATTTTAATATTAATAAATCAAAACGATTCATGATTTGGCAACAGTGCAACTAACGGAAAAATTGATAATGATTGTGGTGTAGTGATGGGAATCTTTAACTTAAATAAAAGAAACGATTACTTAACAATAGTTTATTTTAATAATAAAAATAATACAAAATTGCTTTATTGCGGTGAACATTGTCACAGTAATATACAGTGTATGTTATATTCTTATAATTCAGGGCATCCTTTTGGGCGAAAAGCAAAAAAAAACAGCGTATCAAACAGTATTCTGTTCTAGAGTATTACCACCAAAAATGCAACTTTGAAGTTCTATAAAATAGCAAGCAGGGGGTTCCCTAAAGAAAAAATGATACGAGTAATGTCTTTTAAGCTTTGCATATAGAACGGATCGAACGTCAGTACTGAATCTTAACCTCACTCTTTAGTAAACTTAAATTCAAAGTTTCACAACAATACGTGCAGTGTTGTAACTACAGTGAATGTTTAAGTGTCACCAAGTCACTAGAAAAATGGAACTCAACCGACAACATTTTCGCACCATAATTTATTACAACTTTCAGAGACAATTATCGCAACAAGTATGCCTTGCTGAGTTACTGTCTGCTTTCGGCAACGAAGCGCCACATCAGTCGACAATTTCCCGTTGGTATGGATAATTCAAACGTGGACGGATGGGTCTTAGCGACGATCCCAAGGTGGGTGCACCAAAAACGGCAGTCACCCAGGAAAACGTCGATGCTGTGCGTAAACTCATCATTGAAGATAGACATGTGACATATCGCGAGATTGAGGCGTCCTTGAAGATCTCAAAGACCTCAATTCAAAAAAATTTACATGAAGAATTAGGAGTAAGAAAACTAGTTTCTGGTTGGATACCCCACCTGTTGACTGAAGAGCAGAAAGCAGCCAGGGTTAATTGGTGTCAAAAAACGTTTGACCGTTTCAATTCCGGAAACTCAAAAAATGTATACAGTGGTGATGAATCGTGGATTTACTGTTATGAACCAGAAAATAAACGACAGTCGGCTGTTTGGGTGTTCCAAGGTGAAGAAAAGCCAACAAAGGTCATGCGTTCTCGAAGTGTTTCGAAAAAGATGGTCGCGACATTTGTGTCAAAACCGAGTCATATTGCAACAATTCCTCATAATGAGCAAAGAACTGTTACTGCGGATTGGTATACCACCATTTGTTTGCCAAAAGTCATCACTAAGCTTCGAAAAATCAACCCCGAAAGAAGGATCATCCTCCACCAATACAATGCAAGCTCGCACACAGCCCAAAAACAAGGCAATAATTAACGGAAGAAAACATGGAATTGTTGGACCATCCTCCATATAGTCCTAACGATTTCTTTACTTTCCCGAAAATTAAAAACGGACTGCGTGGTAAAAGGTTCCAGTCACCAGAAGAAGCAGGTGATGCATTCAAAAATGCCGTTTTGGATCTGCCAGCGAACGAGTGGAATAAGTGCTTCGAAAATTGGTTCGAACGCATGCAGATGTGTATTAATCTTCATGGAGAATACTTCGAAAAACAATAAAGGCATTCAAAACTACCTACCGTGTTGTTTTATTCCCATATGCAAAACTTAAAAGACATCCCTCATATATTCATGAAAGCTACATCCTAATCTATCATTTTAAAACAAGAAATGAAATATTTGCGATATGCGCTAAAGTATAGTTCCGCCTTAATGGTAAGACTACACGGGGGTTCGACAGTTTACGAGATATTTGTTCAAACTCGTTCATCACAATCCTTATCATTGCGCCAGTTGATCATATCAATAAGAAGCAATATTCGCTTGATATTACCAAAAGTATTTTCGGTTGCACCTATTGCAAAATTTTGTTGTTCCAAATCTCCATATTCCTGGTGATTACCTCTTGCCGCTTGCACATCTGGTGTGGACTCAGCCTGAGAAATTTGGGTCCACGGACTACGTTCTGTATATTGGAATCATTATGATTCACAAAACACCAAACTCGAAATGCTGAAAAAATCTGAGTGATGCCTCAAACTTTTCAATTATTCATCTGATCAATAATGCTCGGGTAACACTTGTTTTCGTAATTCGATTTTTTTCCGTTTATGTATTGTCGTCGCATTGCAATGGAAAAACTTCATTTCCCATATTTTTCAGAAGCGAAGAAAAGCATTTTCACAAAGCCAGAAGGACCACTATACAAGAAAATATTTTTTTACTACAGTTGGCCCATCCAATTCGTTTTAAGGTGTACTATACCCAATCCCAAACTGCATCCAAAACTGTTCCCAGTAACATTCGCACTTTGTATTATATGGATTGGTGTTAACTCTTACGTTGTATCCTGGATGATATCGATAATAGGTAAGCGAAGTTTCAAAAATCATGAGATTAAAAAAACAGTGGAATTCTTTATAGAACAGAAAGTTCATTCAAAAATAATTTAGAAGTTTTCTACAAACTACAAGCTACGCCACAGTCATTAGGCATAAAACGTTCTGTAAATAACGTTGTTATGACCTGTCAGTAGATGCTACACACAATCTTTAAAGTTAAAGCGTAACAAACATTTCTCAAGGACACAAACCATGTGTATACGTCATGCAAATATGTAATAATTGCTTTAAATGAGATCGAAGCAATAGAAATTCCAAGGTTCAAAGACAAAAAAAGAAACTCGTGGAACAGAGAGAAAACAAAAATATACGATCCATCAAAGCAGGTGGTAGCCAAAGTCAAAGTAATTTTCGCCGGTTGTACTTTACGGTAAAAAAATATGAATGATTGAATAGTTTTAAAATTATATACTATATATGTGTTTTTAGTTTCGATATTATAATTTTTACACCCTACATTATCTCCCGACATGGAAACATTTTCGGACCCATGTTTATAGGAACTATCTTTGGACCTACTTTCTACTTAAGCAATATGGCCACTATTTTTTTGAATCACCCTGAGTATAATGCAAATTGCATGGAGGTGACAATATATCAAAAGAAAATACTATTTGTTTTAGGAAATCTGTTGAATCTGCCTGACGCTGTATTGGGTATGACATTCTTAGCTGTAGGTGGATGCTTACCAGAATCGATCTCTATGACTATTATATCAAGACGAGGTAAGACTAAATACGTTTCCATCAGTTTTGGATCAGAAGGTTTTGAGATCATCAATAGTCGTATTATAATAATCGTGGTCAGAACATCTAACCTTGTAGAATAGGTAATTTTCTTGTTAGAAGTTTTACCAAAATGTTTGATAAACAATCTCTCAAGACTGTCTGGCCGAATCAAACCACACATGTTTGAAATTCCCCTTAATTGTACGAGGTTTCCGTCCCAGGAAGTACAAGTACAAATGACAACCTTTTTTGAATAAACAAAAAAATGTATGTTTAAAATTCCTTTTTATTGTACGTTTCGGTGTGAACGGCACAATTGAAACTTTTTGACAATGTATGTTATTAAATAAAAATAAAGTAGTGCCAATTGAACTTGAAGAAAATCGTACTAAAGTTTACTTCTCCTTCATATAAAGAAGATCTATAGGGGCATTGTCACCATTATTATAGCTATCTGTCTTTCTTTCAAATGTTTTTCTGGCATTTTAAAGTTTTGTTTTATTTCCAGGCGAAGGAGCATTCGGCGTCTCAAATTCCTTAGGAGCAAACAGCATGAACATTTTAATGTCCTTGGGCATGCCCTGGTTTTTCAAAAACATGCTCAACCTATACAGAGGCAATCATGATGGAATCCATATTCAATCGGGATCAATAGAGTACACCATTCTAGCGTTGATATTCGTATCATTTTGTTTATATACAGTTTTAGCACTTAACAAATTTAGACTTGGGAAGCTCGTCGGAGCCACACTGTTATTTATTTATGCGTCGATGGTAGTTTTGGCTGTGTTATCCGAAATGTTATTTTTTCCTACAGCGAAAGAGTGCTGAGGCTTTATTCAGCTGATTTGTACCGATCACTGAATTTGAATAGATCAGAAGGAACATTGCATTCTTTGTCACTAAAATTGTCTAGTTTCTGTGTTTACTTTTGACTCATTGGGCTACCAATACCTACCAAAGTGGCAGCGTTGTATCAGTATAACAATAATATCTACCGGTGGAAACATCTACATTCGTAAGGCTTGAACCGCTCTCTGCGAATTATGAAAGAAGTACAATGTCTCAAATTATAAAATACTATTTTAATGATAGAACTGCAAGACACTGTAATCCTTACTTCAGACTACACTACACTACAAATAAATGCTTGACTGGTTCGTACCAATCCACAGGATACACCGAGCGCGCCCTTGATTAACAATTAAAAAACAAAGATTTTCCGTAACTACCTATTTGAATGCTTTGATATTTTGTTAATGGATGTTCGAAGAGTATTTAGTAACATTGGAAATATTAAAATTTTGGTTTCCTCATATTGTATTTTGGGTTCGAAAATGGCATATTTCGCACTTTACCAAATATTGTATCGCTTATATCTCGAAAAATCTCAACTTTATAAAAAAGTTCGAAAGCACTATTTGATCCAGAATGTCCTGAACAGGAGCAAAAAAAATTTTTTGAAATTTGTTAGAAAAATTGTTTAGAAAAGTTTCGGCGCAAATTTGGGACTGGCAACATGCAGGTTAATTAAAAGGAGCACTTCTTGAACGATTATGCAAAAAAGTCCAAATCATAATATTTTACTATCAAATGCGCAGATATCGCCTGGCCTAAGTATGTGAAGGCCGGAAGAAGGCACAGCGATGCCTCTAGTCGATCCATTATAGTTTCCAATTACTGCTGTTTGGGGCGTTGTGTTCAGCTTTGATTCCTTAATTAGACTTCACAGCTTTGACACAGAACTTTGCCTTAGCTTTCTCTGCCTGGGGATGTATTCTCCCAGACATCTTCTATTATTATGGTAGCACAAAGGATACACACAAGTTTCACCACGTTCCTCCCATGAGGCGTTCAGTAGCTTCATATCTCGATTTAGGCAATGACCGCTATAGCTCGTATTGTCTTCCTGTTATAAGATATTCTGAGCACTTCAGTAGCACCCTGTTATAATTAGTCAAAGTTTTTATGACGTTCATATTATTTAGATGTGAAATTTTGTATGTATTGTATCTCTGTACGACGATGAGATCAGATAAATGAACAAGCAGTTACTAACTTAACTCTGTAAGCTAAGATCTAATAGGAATGGCAGCGATGTCCAATTTCGCGCCCACCGGAGCTAGAGTGGTTGGAGCTGAAAGTGTTAAAAATAGATAGGAAAAAACAGATCTGGTAGGATTAAGGCGAGGTTCTCAAGGTATTTGAGGTGAAAAACTAGATTTTGGACTAACAATTCTCTTTTTTTCCCAAATACCTTGCGAACATCGTCTTATGCTGTCTATAACCTCATATGAATGGTAATTGTCACACAATCAATATTTACTGTGATCCGTCAGTATCAATAATTGACTGTGATACTTATTGAACATGTAGTCAAGTAGTCAGTGAATATTAAAGTATGAGATTACGTAAAAGTCCACTGATACTGGAGAACGATCAGTAAATACTGTTCAAGTCGCTTGAGGATGAAGTTGGTAAAGTTTAGTTCATGTGCCTTAATTAACCAACTAGAAGATAAAAATTGCGTCAACTAGGATAAAGGATTAAGTTAAGCTCAATTGAAATCTTCCGAGAAAACAGTCAGTTAAGAATAGATAGAGAAATCGAATGCATCAAGTCAGTCAAGCCAGACCATTCAATTAGTCCATAGACAATCTTTCTCTGCCCTATCGGTATGTACTGTCCATCTGGCACCGTTGTCCCTTTCCACATCTGTGTGACTTCGTCCACCGTGGCATCGCTGTAGCGAGCTACCTTTTATTCCGTGTATACGTTTTATGCGCTGCAGTATGGATAGATTAGTGAGCCGGGCTGGTACGCCGGGCGGCGAGCAGCGAAGATGGTAGGAGTACGTGCATCGAAGATATTTTTATATATGCAAGTTTTAGCGGGGCAAATGAACGGATACATCTATATTCAGTGAAATATAGATAAAAGATGTATATAATCACCGGGGTTGGCTGCGTATAACGGTACTAATATCAAAAAATATACCTTCCGACACCCACTACACTCCCCAACCTCCAAATTTCAAGGGAGCTGGTGCAACATCGAAAAACGAAAGTTTGAGCGATGTTTATTTTTTTCTTGTCTTTTGCTCCTAGCTCCGACACCACTCAAAAACTACAACGCGTTCCCATCCTTACCATAGTAGTGCTCTCCCCAAGCTATAGGCTGTCCAAGGATTAGCGGACAGACAGACAGGCAGACGGGGACGAGTGGCATAGTATTTTTAAAAATTATATCTCATTTTCGAATTTCTTCGCGATTATAAAACTTTCTCGCCCAGTGGCCTAGGAAGTAAAACTCCAGATGGATTCTGTCAAAAACTTTAAGCGGTGAAGTCAGCGTGTGTGCGTGGGTGTGTGTGAGAAAAATGTAAGTATGAGTAGAGATTATGACAGGAGAGGAGAGGGAGGCTCCAAGTATGAGTTTCATACAAATGACAGTCGAGTTATCAATCCTATATAGAAACGTAAAACAATAATATCCTTGTTTCAAGAAATTCTGGATGCAGTTTCGAAAACACGATCTTCAAGCAAGAATCTATTTTCAGTTAAAGCATGGAAAATATAATTTTATGCTTGATAATGTTATCATTTAAGCCTAGACCTAGAACATCCCCTCGAACAGGGAAATCCATATGTCCCAAAAAAATCACCTTGCTACACACGTTTTTGGTTCAAACTGAGTTCAGAGAGAATAAATTTGTAGCTGCCTCATTTAGATGCCTTTATCACCATAAAGAAAGCGTGTGAAGAATATTTTTCATAAGAATATATCCCATTAATTTGCTAAATTCGGAATGAGATGGAGAGCTTTTAGATGTGAAAAATCAATAAGTTAGATGTCATTGGTTCGTATTTCTGCGATAAACAATATGATGTTCTGCTTAAGATGTATTATTATACCCTTAGCTTAAGAGTAAGGCTGTGTTACTATATTAAGTAATACTAAAAAGCATTATTTTACGGCCAAGGTAATGTCTCAAACATTTTTTTGATATTTAGTTTTTGGTTTTGAGTATGATCTCACAGGTTCTGAAGCATGGTGTGAAAAGAAATAATACTGACATAATGAGCTTCAACCTATTGCTATGTTCCCGCCCACAAAAAGTTATTCGACATAAAATGAGATACCGTAGCGTCATCTATGAGAATTTATAACAGCTGTTTCTTCATTTTCCATATATACTTTGAAGAAGTTGGTGTCACATAGATGACGCTGTATCCACCTATGTAATAATAATTTAGTCACAATACTAATACAATTTTAGTGAATAAATGTATACGCTATGAGACAACCTTTTCGAGGTATGCAAGTTGGTCACCTTGCAATATGCTTACATTTCCCTGTTAGGGTGGAACGTCAGGGAAGAATTATTAAAACATCTTGTTGGTTTTCATGACAAAAAGTAACTATTTTTTCATAAGTTTAGGAATGTACAAAAATCCTACGTAATGTAATAATGTTTTACAAATGGAATATATCTGGTTAATCATCACAATACTAGTTCATTATGGATTGTTAGTCAAGCAAGCTGAATCAACTATTTATACAGGAAACAGAACTAAAGTGGATACCAAGCAAAATGCGATGCTCTTCATCAGTCATGAGCTGTGCATTGTTGCCAGACTTTGCATATTTTCTTTTAAGCAAATAAATTATTTAATGAAATAAATTTGGATATATACCCAATATTTAGTAAGTATTTAGTTAAATTTTGATTTTCAAACTTCTTTAGTTTTGACTTTTTGACTGACTGTGAAACATCACTTACAGTAGACACATTTAATTTCAAGGCTGCTGCTATACGTTAAAAATAAGAAAGAGAAGATTCAGCTCAACGTTCCTATTACTCAGGCTATCAACAAGCGTAAACTCACCTCCCGTACAGCTGTTAAAGGTAAAAGTGGGCCATTATTATCTCGTTCCCGTTTGAACCATTCTAATAAGCATGGTATGAGCTCTTTACACCAGCTGTTAGGTTGTTTTGGCATTTTGTATACTTTACACCATTTCACGTTAAATGTTGTTCTGAAAAGAACAATTTTTAATTGCAAGGCTCAAGCGCAAAAACTTACAAATAGAACTAGTACGACAAAAGGACAATGACAACGAAGTCACCAAATAAGACGCGTCAACCTCACATTTCTCTGCACGTAGTTTACTTTTTGTACATCGTCTTTTTCTTCTCTTTCCTCATATTTTTTTTCATTACCCGTATGACTATCTTCCAATCTAGTGTTACTACTGTGACTATATGTTCTTTTAGTTTATAGTCTTTTTAATTTAATTATGAGGTTGCCATTTTATCAGCACTATTTGTAGGCAGTCTCTTTTGCAGTAAATGTTATTTTGAATTTCAGTTTCAAATTGATCCAACATTTCATGTATATCTGCTGCAGATAAATTCTTTTATTATTTTACATATAGAAACAGCAGTCCCAAATTCTCATAGATGACGCTATGGTATCTCATTTTATCCCGTCTTATTTTTTGGACGCAGGAATATAGCAGTAGGTAGGCTATGATCAATGCTAATAGGTACATACTGCTTACCTCTGGGTCTATTTTGCAAGCGTGACTTTTTAAAATGTCAATCATTTAAAAAAATGCTCTATTTACAATAGTATTTGTATGTTCCCCTTAAATATAAGTTGTTTTAATGTAGGTGACGTAAGTGTATTTGGATATAAAAGTTTTATATTTGCCAATAAAGTATTTCTTTTTCAACCAGTTGCCTCATTTATAACCGTCAAGTCAAGTCAGGTCATTGTTGGTTGTCAGAGCGGTCCGTGGGACCTTAGCTCTTGAGTCACAGTGTCAATTTGTAAGTCTGCCAGGTCTGGTAACCCAGAAACCAGACAATTTTAAGGAAATTTATAACCGTCAAAACAGCTTCAACAGGAAACGCTGCTGGACCACTCCAGGCACGAAGTATCGTATCCGTTATAGTAATAACATGGCTGTCTGCGATGCTGTCAGACGAAAGGCAGGGTTCGGCGTATGATAATCGCCGTTGCATCGCATCGTCCCGATAGACCGCGAGTACCGTCTATAAATATTAAGTTATAAGGGTAAACGTACGGGAAAATATTTGATATGAAATATACAGGGTGACTTCGAAGTTGATGTGCTCGTGTTTGGCAACAACGGATATAATCCGCCTTATCGGTTCATCGCATCGGAAACAAAAAAGCGAAAGAATTTGAAACGATGTTTTTACTACAATATACAATTTTATTCAGTTGTTTTCCGTCAATGTGTCAGTCGGTAACGCGTGAGTGAATAGTGGTGTTTGTTGCGTGGCTTAAACGAAATAAAAAATGCACATGTTTACGAAAATGCTGAACTTGTGGACATGATTGTTATTTACGGGGGGGGGGGGGCAGTCTTTATGCGGATCGGTTTCCCAATCGAGTTCAACCAACCCCTCGTGCCTTTGTTAATGTAGTACAAAGGGCTCGTGAATCAGGTGACTTAAGACCTCACAGGGGAGGGCATGCCGGTGCTCCAAGACCGCACGATCAAATACAGGTCCGCACTGAAATACTTGTCGGGAGGATACTTTATAAAACAAGGTAACATTTTTTTTAATTTTTATTTTTATTTTTACACACATATTTTGGTTTATCTTCCTTCTACAATCATTATCTGAAAATTAATGACTCAACTTCAAAGGCGCGTAAAATTACTGGGGTTGGAAGTATATAAATATACTGCCGCCAACAAAATGAGATATGTTGAAGATAGGTAAAAGATTCCGTTACATATATACATACAGCTCAAGCTAATAGAAGCGTGTTAATTAAGAAAAAATAATCCAAAGCCAACAGCTATATTGAAGCAATTTAGGACGTAATCAGCTAATTTTTCACAGCATTTTTAGCGACATTCCTGTATTCATACATCAAAATGCATCAAAAACGTTCTTCTGAATCCCCATCCCATGCAAGAACATTTAGAAAGATCATCAAGGAAAAATTAAATACGTGACACCGCTATTAATTTGAACGTCAACCCAATTCCCAACAAAAAAACTGCCGGGGACACTCTTTAGGAATCCCATTTATTCGAAACGTTCCAGCCGAATTGTAAATGTAAAGATCCGCTTACGTTGAGAATGAAATAAAGCGCCTCCGCTTTCGAATCCTTATATAGTACTTACGACTTGCGCACGGTTCATTCGGTCATGATGGGAGTTCGAAGCAGACTGAAAGGTGGAGGTTACTACCTAGACAAGGCGTGAACGGCGACACAATTGCAAAAACATTCTCATTAGATTGCTTTTCTCATAATTATGTCTTTGATGGAGCTTCAGATTAGATTATCTAGATTTTCTAGTTTATAAGCATTAAACTTTTTCTCTTATACATACCTATATGTTGCCCATAGCTAGCCCGCTGCCAAATAATGTTCATGTTTAATAAATAACTGGACTATTATTTATTAAACATCGAGGTCAAAAATAATAATCAAATGTTTTATTTGCTCCCAGTCCTTGAAGGCGGATTGTATCTTTTTTCTGTGAAAGTGAATATATCTTTCCAGAGTGACTACGGGATTTTCTAAATCAGATCTATTGCAATAGGAAATTCCCAACAAATGCTTAAGCTACTAAAAGTTAATGCATATATTCCGTAACATTAGTTTAATAGTCTTATCATACTTTTCACATTATTCAGTGATAAGTGACCATATTTGACGCCATTTATTGGGCTAACTTGATTAGACTATTACACCCCATTAGTTACCAGAAACATCATCGTTTTCTGATGACTAATCGACATACATACATATTCCTCGTTGGAAATATTTATATCGATTTACCTGTAAGCCGTAAGCGCTAACATATGGGAAAATTTATGTGTGGAATATACCTAATAAATATTGCAGAATTGTCGGGTTAGAAGTATATGAATACACTTAAAGTGATCAGGACTCTCTGAAACGTGTAAAAACGAAGTTTGAAAAGTTTTTTTGTCTTTTGACCGTAGTACCGCCGCCACTGGATCGATTTTCAAAATCTACAAATCTAACATTTTTGTCCTTGGCATAGTATCAACCTTGTATGAAACAGACGTACATAAGAGACATGATTTTTTGTGATGTACACGTCAGATAATATCCAAAATAGATCTTATTTTCAAAATATGCAAAAATTACAATTAGGAGTGCGCTTGTAACATGCACAATTTTATAATGCAGAACGTCAATTTTGTAGTAACATGACGTTTCACATATTTATCGTATCGATCTACGCAACTACCTGTGTCCACATGCCGACGGGAAAACCATGTGCGAGTGGCGATTTTTACGTTCATGAAATCCATTCGGTATCCATATGTGAGTGTTCAAATGAGTGAAATAATATTTTAAAAACGTGTAATAAGAATACTATTTCTAAAAGCACAAGTGTATCCCTTCATCTGCAAAAAGCGTTTGAAATAACTTATACGATTTTCGTTTTCTTTAAGAGCCTTTCATTCCGGAAGTTGCCGCTTAAAATTGCTATCTTTATTATGTTGACTGCTTGCGATAATCTTCTCCTACATGGTTCACGTTTTTCGCATATCATGGCCCATATGCTCAAGTTTCGAGGGATATCGACATCGAGTTATATTCGATTGCCAGGTAAAAAATAACTTTAGATGGTCCCATGCGGAAAAAGGTTTAAGCCCAAACATCGAGCGAGCCGTAAATGAGGTTGTCATCGACTCGACCTATACAACAATTTCTTTTTGTTGAAAATTTATGGTGAAGTTGCTGAATTTAACTTTGTAAGCTATGAGCCAGGGGAGCTCGAACATCGAAAAAACATATCTCGTTTTCGAAATTTAGTTATTGTAATACTTTTTGCCCAGTAGGCGTGGGAAATAAAAGTTACCCAGCAGAATTTTCTGTATCTCTAGATAAAGAACCTTTTCATTTACTCTTAAAAATATATTTCTGACAAATTCCGTCAATATAGTTTTTTTATCAGAATATACTGAATTAACTGGATAAATAGATAAGAGCGCAAAACTTATTTATTTAGTGACTGGTTCATTTCTCAATGTCTAGCTACTTTTCGCGTCAGTGATCCCATGACTTTTATTCTGGGACCCCAAGCGAAAGAGGTTTTGAACAAAAAAAATATTTTTTCTATGGCGTTGCGCCTCCGGTTTCGCCCGGTCTATATAATCCGGATGAAGGAAGGAATAGATTTCAACTTTGCCCTATAGAATAATAGCAATGGGAACTCAATCTGCAATTGGAATTACTCTTAACGGATAAACGAAATATAATTCCGCTTATAATGACTATGGGCGATGCGATACTATGTACAACAAAATATTCTGAATATGTTACAGTAAAGCCGTAAAATGGAAGATGCCTATAGTAGGGAAAGTTAAATGTGTTTTCATTGATCGATTCTATACGACTATTCCTACTAAGACTATAGTTGCAAAACAAAATAAATGCAATACCACAGACGAATGTAGTCATTTTTATTTCCCATGCCCACTGGCGAAGAAGTATTGTATTAGCGAAAATTTCAGAAATGAGGTATTATGATCTTTGGATCATATATAAAATGTACAGTCTGCGAAAACCAAAAGTTCGCGAATTTAAAATAGAGTTTTCTCATAATAATCTCCACAGGGGATTACCTAGCTCACGTCACGCCATTGGGGAGTGAGCGCATGCAGTCTGATGGTGAGGTTTATGTCGTTGCTCTTTATATCACGACTAGCTGCGGCATGCTGCCCTCTTATGGAAACTTCCATCATATGCCCTCCCAGAGAAGCTTTGCAGGTAGGTACTTGACTTTCTCTCAAGATATCTTGCATAATTGAAGGTTCCCTCTTCCCACAATGTCAGCGCGGGTGTTCTCCAGTGATCTGTCTTGGCTCCGACCACGTTCCTCTTACATATAATAACAGTAGAAAACCAAATGTTTGCGGATGACTTAAAAATTTACTTAGTAATTCATGGACAAGAGAGCTTAGACCTTTTGCAGGAAATGTTAGACAACATTCTTGACTGGTGCCAGAATAATGATTTAATGCTTAATCAAAGCAAGTGTAAAGTAATGTCCATTACTAGAAAACAGTATATCATACCATATGATTATATGCTGGACAGTGACAAACTTGACAGAGTACAGGAAGCAAAAGACCTAGGCATTACTATTACTGCGGATCTGTAATTTTCAACACACTTGAATCAAATAGACAAACCAGCTTCACGTATGCTTGGATTCATTATTAGAAATTGCAGATCTTTTACTAACATAGAATCATTAAAAATACTGTATTTCACTCTAGTTAGAAGCTTACTTGAATATGGTTGTATCATCTGGTCTCCTTTATATGTTACATATATATATATAAAGTCGAGAAGATCCAAACAAAATTTTTAAAATATCTGTATTTAAAAGCATATGGTGTATATCCTACATTTAACTATTCAAAGAAAGATCTTTTAGAGCACTTTGGCATGGTCAGTCTTGAACACAAAAGTTTCTTTTAAGCTGCTGATTTGTGCATAGGTTTGCTAAGCAATCAGATGGACTGTAGTGAAATTTTGTTGAATTTAAACTTTACTGTGCCTACGTTCAATAGTAGGAACTACACCATGTTTTATCTTTCAAAAGCTCCAACAAATATTATGCTAGCATCCCCTTCATACAGAATGTTGAAATGCTTTAACGAGGTTAGTCATCTCTTTGACTTTGATATGAGCGAGCA